GGACCGCTCTCATCTATATTATAATCTATATTATAAGAGGCAATGTCTGTTGGCAACAGAAGTGAAAGTGAATCTGTCTGTGACGGAAGTTTGTCCGTGACGGAAGTGAAAGTACTGAAAGTCAAGTTTCGAATGGCGCGAAAATTCAAAAACTTTAATTTCAAACATAAATGTTGGTTATCAAGGTGTGGCGGCCTGGTGGGGTTATCGGGTCTTTGTTCCCTGAGGGTGGTTATCGGATCTTTGTTGCCTGATGGTGGTTATCGGGTCTTTGTTGCCTGGTGGTGGTTATCGGGGTGTGGCGCCCTGGTGCTGGTTATCGGGTCTGTGTTGCCTGTTGGTGGTTATCGGGTCTTTGTTGCCTGATGGTGGTTATCGGGTCTTTGTTGCCTGATGGTGGTTATCGGGTCTTTGTTGCCTGATGGTGGTTATCGGGTCTTTGTTGCCTGATGGTGGTTATCGGGTCTTTGTTGCCTGATGGCAGTGAGGAGCTGTGTCTCTGGTGAACGAATATGCTACGGATTTCTGCGGTGGTGGCTGCGTTAATGCGGCCGTTCACGATGTATGTCACATAAATAATGTGGCCATCACCAAATCAGATCATACTAAAACTTGGTAAACTAACATCCAATGTAAGCACGGTCGCAAAAAATCAAACATAGTTTTCCATATTTTCCATATTTGCGGGTTTTCGTACATATTACATATTTTCATACAAATTTTTGCCGATTTTTCGTACATGAACATATTTTCCTATATATTTCGAGTACTTTTCTAAACAAATATGTTAGTAGATATTTCGAAGTTTTGAATGGAACATGCTTTTCTTCGTTTACAAATTAAGGTTCCCTCAAAATTATATTTCATGAATATCGTAGAAAATTCAGGTTGAAAACCAATTTTTATGAGCATATTTTCAGTTTTTTTAAGAATATATATATTTTGCGGTATTTACGTACATACATACGCCTTCTGGTAAGTACCAATTAATTAGAAAAATATTATCCTTCTAATTACTAGGTTTTCATTTATGTGACATACGTCGTGAACGGCCGCATTAACGCAGCCACCACCGCCAAAATCGGTAGCATATTCGTTCACCAGAGACACAGCTCCTCACTGCCTGATGGTGGTTATCGGGTCTTTGTTGCCTGATGGTGGTTATCGGGTCTTTGTTGACTGATGGTGGTTATCGGGGTGTGGCGCCCTGTTGGTGGTTATCGAGGTGTTACGGCCTAATGGGGATAATCGGGCGTCGTTGCCATTGTCAGTACCATTGTTAGTTTATTTGGGCAGTTATCTTATTGCATGCCGTTGCCGTTGGCATTGCCCTAGCAGTACCAGTCGCAGTATTAATTGGTAGACCCGTATCACCCAGTTAGACTTCCACTATTACTGCCAGTGGTATAGGCAGTGCGCAAAGCAGACCGACCTGGCAGAGATGACTGAGCCAAATTTAATGCCAGACCCCCTACCACTGGCGATGGCAGTGCCTGTGGCTGTTTGGACTGGCAGAGATGACTGAGCCAAATTTAATGCCAGACCCCCTGCCACTGGCAATAGCAGTGCCTATGGCAGTTTGGACTGGCAGAGATGACTGAGCCAAATTTAATGCCAGACCCCCTGCCACTGGCAATGGCAGTGCCTATGGCAGTTTGGACTGGCAGAGATGACTGAGCCAAATTTAATGCCAGACCCCCTACCACTGGCGATGGCAGTGCCTGTGGCTGTTTGGACTGGCAGAGATGACTGAGCCAAATTTAATGCCAGACCCCCTGCCACTGGCAATAGCAGTGCCTATGGCAGTTTGGACTGGCAGAGATGACTGAGCCAAATTTAATGCCAGACCCCCTGCCACTGGCAATGGCAGTGCCTATGGCAGTTTGGACTGGCAGAGATGACTGAGCCAAATTTAATGCCAGACCCCCTGCCACTGGCAATGGCAGTGCCTATGGCAGTTTGGACTGGCAGAGATGACTGAGCCAAATTTAATGCCAGACCCCCTGCCACTGGCAATGGCAGTGCCTATGGCAGTTTGGACTGGCAGAGATGACTGAGCCAAGAAGGGTGCCAGACCCACTGCCTATGCCTATGGCAGTTTGGACTGGCAGAGTGTAATATGCCAAGTCGAATTCCTAACTTACTGCCGGCATGCAGCCAGCCCAAAATTGGACTCTTTGTCTGGAGTGTGGATCGAGCTTAGAAATGTATGGGAAGGTATAAATGGTGAATATAGCAAGGCATGTGAATTGCTTCGAGATATTTTATTTTATTTTCCTACCATCAACTTTCCACTTTCTTGACATTCTTTACAAATTTGTTTCACTTCCGTCGGCATCAAAGGTTGAGCTAATAATGCAGACTATTTAAATTTAATTTGGTGAACATTGAAAACTAAATCAACTCTCGCCCGGCGGTAGACGGGCTTATACGCTAGTCATATATAATTCCCGCCACATCAATGCTTCAAATAATTCCGTAATGTGCCTTTACATACCTATCATAGTCCCGTTCGGAAGCAAGAATCCAGTCCCACCACCAGTCGAAGTAATCGCGCGATATGTAAAATTCAACGCGATGGTGAGGTACTCGTTAACCAGTGGGGCATACCGACCCCTCTTGAGGTTACGAATTTTCCCGTTCATTCCAGGATCCAATTCTACCAGCGGTAAAATTGCGGGGCACGTAATTGTTAACATTTTACCGTTCAGATTGGTCGTCAAGTCTGGGAAATATGATAACTTTGTGTTGTTCTCGGAATCAGCTGGAATCCGAATTATCTTTGGGTTGCCGTTATCACAGAAAAAGCAGACGGAGCGAATAACCAATTCTAACGTTGTCTTTTCACGAGAAACTCCAATTTTATAATTGATCCGATCTACAGAGATATTTACTTAATCGTTTTACAAAAAGAGACCAAATTATTTTCTTAAAAACTTTACTTGGAAACACGTCCGAAAGCAGGAGAGAATTCAGGTCTTCCGAATTTTCTGTTATGAAAATCCACCGATCCATATTCCGACTGACGAAGGGCAAATAAAATGGTGAAATGTTCCTATCAAAAAAGTCAATTTTAGGTATATGTAAATTCATTGCCAAATTTAATCTCAGAAATTTTCGCATGGCGGCAATATTTAAAATTTGTGTATTAAAGAAAATTAATAGAGGTACATAATTATTTTCGTAATTACTTTTCAATCTCTGCCAAAAATTCGCCCTCTCCATCATCACGGTGCCCCATTATAACCACAACAAGCTTACATATGGACGATTTCATCATAAAGTTTGCGCGCGGCGGGTAATGCGGGATTAAACTCTCATTCCGCCCCACTCCATCCACATAATAGGCACTATAGTACGGCACGATTTGATTTTTTACAATTTCGCCAATTAAACCATCCTCACCCTCACTTTCTCTGAATTTTCTGATAAAAAATATCCCACAGTTTGATGCTTCCTTTTGCCAAATGCTGACAACAAATTTCGAAATTAAATCTTCACCCGTCGCAAATTTGTTGCTGTGAATGAGGTAAAAGAGCAGGATTGGGATAAATTTTATGAAAACTATTATTGACATTTTGTGACATGCAGAATAAAGCAAAAAAAATAAATCGTAGCCTTCGTTATTTTTGTACTGCGTAGATATTTTTTAGCCTGTGTCATTTTACAGCTGAATTGATATGCTCTTCGATTTCCGATTGATGGCTTAAATAAAATATGGTTGAGGAGCGAGGAGTGAAAATCGGGCGAATATTTAATCAGGGCCAAAATCACGCAAGTAAGCCATCGTCACGTAGAGTATAGCAAAGCAGTTAAATTATTAGTTGGACATAAAACACAATCTTAGCGTTTGAGGTGTTGAGTTTAATAATTATAAATATGTAAGTACGACCCACTTTTATCAAGGTCTCATTATGACTCTCGCATCATTAAGTCTGCAAAATTCTATAGCAGGCAGAGCTCCTAAAACACACGTGTTTGTTGGAAAATGAAAACTTAATTCGTACATGAATAACCTTCTCCCATACATATAACAAAGGGTATCACTCGATCGGAGTTGTGTATTTAAACGTCGTTTTTTTTGCTAACGAGATTTGTATGCCAACCCTGAGCTTTTGCGGCGAGCAACATATTATTCCACTCAAAAACCGCGTATGTTTTGCGAAATTCCTGCTCTAGTGACGTCCTTAAATTTGGTAATTTGTCCAAATATGTATCACACTAAATATCTTCTGAACAATTTTGCACCTTGGGTACGAGCGTTAGTCTAAATAAGTCATCAATAAATTTAGTGTGGCATCGGTCACTCTATCATATTGCCTCCCACTTTTAAAATTTCCATGCTGTGGTCGTCGCTAATGTGTGAGGTAGGACAGTTTTCTACCGTACAATTTAGAGGTTAACCTCTTAACGACCAAGTACACACATTTGTGAAGTTATTTTATTTTCCGTTCACGGCGAAGTACACACATTTGGGTAGTATTATATTTTTCCGTTGACAACGAAAAACACAAATGTGCGTACTGCAGAAATTTCCTTGATACCAAAATTTCTTGTAAAAAAGAATAGTTCTTCGGTATTTTGCGGAAAACTCGATAGTGAAAAGTGGATTTTTTAAATATATTTTTCTCCTAAAATTTTGGAATTTTCCCATACCGACCAATGTTAAAAATTGGATTTTTCGTGTTTTTCGTCAAAAACTCAAATATTGGAAACTGGGTGAAAATTTTAATTCGTTGCTATCAGGTGAAATTAGGAAATCAAAATCGTACCGAAGGGAAATTTTATTTAAAAATTAGTAGTTCGAAAGAGGTTAATTTGCTCGTCACTGTACGTACATTAACACATAAGTTCATAACTATGTACAGACAGATATGTCTGTATTCCTCAGCCCAAATATTTTGAGACAAGAAAGGTATTCATTATGCACACAATTGCACCCTTGTATTGTCTTGAGTCACGTAAGGTTTCATAAACTGGGGCGATCAGGCAAGTCATGAATTTTATGTAGGTTAATCACCTCAATATAAAAGAGCACAATTCAATCAGTTCAGCCCAATCCAATTTATCGAATTGTATAGAAATACAGAATTCTTATCTTGGACAGAAATTATTCACAGGCTTCAACAAGGTACATATAAAAAAATTCCTGAAATAAAGTTGCAAATTTAAAAATTTAAAAAATCAAAATACTGAAAAAGTTTTGTAATTTTTCCAGGAAAATGATTTATCTAACATTATTCATTTGCTTTATAAGCTTATGCTTCTTTGGATTCGTCCGGCCTCAAATTTCACTCGGGACACCGGTCAAAATTACGAATTATGGTTCAGGAAATGCCCTCTCAACTCAGTCATACCCCGCCGTCCGAGCCTTTATGGCTGACGGGTCTGCAAATTTCGCCTGGGTTTATAATTCTGACGGGACAATAACAAACTACGACAGCTCAACGACCGGTGGGACCCGTGGCTGCTTATCGGACCCCTATGTTGACCAATACATTTACCTGGAACCATGCAACTCCACAAATCGTTTCCAGACGTGGGAACTCGTAAAATCGAAGAGGAATGGAATATATCAACTAAAAAATTTGGGGTCATACACTTGTCTGAGTAATGACGTGAAGTGGATCGTAAAAAAGCAAAACTGCGCTGATGTCGAAGGTGATCCGTACATTTATCAACAATGGATTGTTAGTATCCTCTCGCCATCCTAGTGAATAACTTGGTCCTTGCGCATGTATCATTAGTTTTGCATCTGTTAAATAAATATGTTAGTCAAATAAATCACTAAATACATACTTGGGAATAACAACATACCAATTTATGAAGAGTTACATATCTTATATAAATTGATTAATGAGATTAGAATATCGTCAGTAAAGGGTTAAATGTCTAGATACAGACGCTATTTCGCTATTAACGAGCATAATATACCTAGTACTTGTATCTTTCAAATTTCCCTCAAATTTCATATGTACGTGGCATACGTTTGTATCTTGTAAAAATATGCAAAATTTGGTTGACGAAGCAAAGCAACTAATGTGCCAGTTATCCCCCAACGTCCTAAAAGTTTGCTGTATACAATCTGTAATTTTAAATCTATTTACATATGTACATATGTATGTACACTCGTAACCCATTTGTACGTACATACCATAAAGACTCTATTTATAGCCAGGTCTAAAGACGACACAAATCCGACTACAATTTCAAACCGGGTATAATTAGAGACCCGGGTAAAATATTTTTCGGTTACTTGAAGTTTACTATAACTTGAAGAATCTAAAAACGGACATTAAAGGAATGTCATAATTAGGGATAAGCTTATTAATTTTTTCAAAGTTGGGCTCAAGACCCGGCTATAAATAGAGTCTTCACGGTATGTATATCGCACTTACGCAGCACACCTATTTGGCTAAACCTATAATACCACCAGAGATGCAAATATGTACATACATATACCTAGGTATGAATATAATGCTGCCAAAAAACTTTTCATTTGTTACATCTTCCTTTGTGTTGATACAATAATGTGAAAAATGTCATTGGCGTACAGATAGTTGCACTGACAATGCGATGGTGTGAAGTGTAACCCTCCGATTTGGTTGAAATTTCGAAATTATGTGGTCCATGTCAATACAACCAACGTTTCTTCAGGGAGTTTGTGCGATAGTCAGAATTTGGAAAATTATTTGAGGTTAAAGTTGACAAATGTGCAATTTTTAACACGAGAAGAGAATGGAAGTTGAGTTTGCTTCCTCCGCCTGGTAAAAATCGCCAGTTTTTCAACTTTGACCTCAAATATTTTGGAAAATTTTTATCATCGCACAAACTGCTTGAAGAAACGTTGGTTGTATTGACATGGAGCACGTAATTTCGAAATTTCAACCAAATTGAAGGGTTACACTTCACACCATCGCCTTGTGAGTTTAGAGAAATATGCAAATATGTATTTACCTACATAATTATCATTTTAACCTATTGTACGTAGACGAAGTTCGCGTCTTCCTATACTGTCCTCGACATGACCATCACACGTTCAATATTTCTCCATCCATTATGATAGATTGGTACATGTTACAAACTGTCCACGTGGGTGGGCATGTTTCTGAATACTGTTGAAAGTGGGTAGGATAACAAACAGACTTGATCAGTGGACAATGTATCGCGGATATGAGATTTTTTGAGTATGTGTACAAATCAGAGTGGAACGTGGAACTACATACCCACTTCTAGTGGACAGTAAACAGTGGAGAATTTTAAACAAATATGTATTTGGGTGGAAACTAGACAATGTTTTTCTTGGGTGGACGTAAGACACATTTATCTTGAGTGGACAGTGGACAAGTTGACAATATTTCTTTGGGTGGACAGTGGTTGTTTAAGTGGATAATCGACTAGGGAAAACTTGATTTGGATTTAAACTATAGCGTAACCAAATCCTTCAACCTTCAAGACAATTAGGAAACCCTTATTTGAGTGATCCTAGAACGGATATATACATACACCCACCTCAAAATTTCCGGGGCTTTACGTCGATATAATCATTTACTTAATAAGGATCAGCCGAAAAATGTGTTTGAAGCGTCCAGGTTCCCTCATCTGGTACCTAATAAAAATACTCGTTTATGATGTAGCAAGTAAAAGTAGCAGTCATCCAACTTGGACCTCAATCGGTAGTGATGTTAAAATAACGTCATACTTAAAACCATTCGAACACTGCACAACAATAATTTTATTCCCATCAAACATTACTTCACAACTGCTACACCAAACAGTTCAGTACGCTCCAATAATTTCACAAAAGTATAACTCAAATCAAGGTAAGCTGATTGAAAACGGATTTTCCTTGATGAGAAGACGTAATCCAGTTCCACATTGTTGGGCATCACTAGCCATTCTTCCGGAAGAAGACGATAAATTCTTTTTCTATAAAGGGCATTTCCATTTTAGAAGTGCGCCTGACCTCATAAGTGAGTACTGGTCAAACCAGTATTTCATTTTAGTTACCAAGGTTAAAAGAAAAATTCAAGAATCCCTGAAAAGTTTGGGGCACGTTACAATACACCAACTCCGTGTTAGGGAAGTTATAATCATTGAGCTATTCCAGTGCAAAAACGAATTGATTAGCTTAACTTCCCGTATATCATGGCTCCGGATGTACTATCACTATATCTATTTCATTGATAGACCAATTGCCGGAGTTGAATTGTCCGAACCATGGTATACAATAAACTGTTCTCATGAGGACTGCTTCACCGAAATACAACTTGTAGCCAAAAATGTTGCAAAGCGTAACAAATATTTTTGGGGCACACATTTAATCTTGGATACGAATTGGACAAGTATTCATCATTTACACACTTTGATAAATCTTACAGCGATACAAAGCGATAGGCATGGTTATCAGCAAGTAGCACACTTGACAACATTTAATGGCTTTGTCAAGTTTTGGATCCTTCAGGACGTGTTGAAATACAACCTTGGCCAGTTTTATACGCCGCATAATATTGCTCCAATTCAAAAGCTTACTTCATCCATTTACACGAAAGGTTTTATCTTTGTGCCTTACGACATACAGAAATTCAGTTACGCATCCTGCTATCAGGTCATGTCATCGAATTTAGGTGGAACTCTATCCTCTTTAACGACTCCGTTTGATAAAGCCACCTGGATATGTCTGATGATAAGCCATTTTACGGCGATCCTGCTTTTGACCAGTATATCAGAGAAACTCGACTTCAATGAAGCTTTCCTGGTGATTGGAGTGTCTTTGGAAAACTCAGTACTTTCGACTTACAGGCCTGGAAAATGCATTCTGTCACTGCGGATGGTTATCGCGGTTTGGGCCATAATCACTGCAACGATGTTATCGAATATATACAAAACTTGCTTTACCATGGAAATGATTCTCCCCACTACATATAGGACCTTACTGAACAGCGTAATGGATGTGGAAGGGATGAAGGTTCTCATGCCAATCAATCTTCTGGATGACAATGACTTTGAAAAGTTCAATCTGGGAGCGTATGTTCGATATAAATTTTTCTTTGATGAAATTCTCCAAAGATCTCTTCAAGTAGTAGTTACACAAGATGGGTATAAACAACTTGATGCATTCATCAAGTTAGCAAAAGATCTCGTTAATATGATCCAACCTTATTTTGGGATTGGCGCTGATGGAAAATTGTTTCACAACGGGACATTTTCGAGGCTTCTACAACCGCACGTGGCCTACAATTACAGTACATTAATGGAATGCCCGATACAACCAATAAAATATACCGACACAAGCTCACTTAAAGTGTTACACACTTGTGGAAAGGTTGCATTAATGGATACAAAAGAGAATATTGCTGCTGTATTGCCATTCCTAAATGACAACCCTGACAACGTAAAGTATCTTCAGATTGAGGACGATTCATACTTTACCGTAACACGAGGATGGCATATAGATTCTGTGCGTGAAAATTACGCCGTCAGGCAATTGCATACTATGAGATCGTCGGGAATTTTTATTCATTGGGAAACTATGCTCAAGCTATGGAAACCTGCCAAGTTATTTCATCACTATGCTAACTGGACACACCCCGAATCAGATGCAGTTTCTAGATTAGATTTGGATTCTAAGATCTTGATGGCATTTTATTTGTGTGGGATGAGCGTACTAATTTCAATCTTGGTACTTATTCTGGAGATTGGGTGGCAGAAAATTCGAAATAGTAGGACAGCTAATGAATAGGCAAGCTATTTTCTATTTCGTAATATTACGTAGAGGGGTTGTCTCAATAAATCCAAACTGACTCAAACCGGATACAATGTCAACCAATGCCAGTTGGACAAGTAAATAGAATACAAAATTTCATTCTTTCGCCGACCATGAAAAACGAATAATGTGCCATTTATTATTTACTAATATTGACAATGTTTTTTACTATGTATAAAATATGAAGAAAAGAATGCATGTTTTGTATTATTGTGCGTATACATTCCAGCAAATTTATAAATGCATACAGAAGGTTAAAAAAAAGTTTTGTCTTAAAATATTTAAGTTTTTATTTTTTACACAAACATTGCTACAAATATAATTAATGTATACATCCAGGTACAAACCCAGCATGCAGCTATTCATGCAAAATTTAAGTTAGATAGATAGATTTATTTACTTCTCATCTGATGGCCGAGGCCCTCATCATTACAAATTACAGAGTTGTACATATGTGCAAATGTAGATAACCAAATAGGTAGGTAGTCAGAGGAATGGAGGAAAAACCTAACTATGGTGGAGAGTTAGGAAAACCTCCATCACCTCTGGGAATGTGGCCCAGAGGTCCATTCGGCTCTGACTACCTGGACACCAGATAGGACAATGAATGATAGAGATCATAGGTAGATTCCATGAGATAGTGGTGATATTCAAATGAGGACGGCGTCGTGACGGCGGAAGCATGATGAGTGAAGGTTGTTGGGCGGGGCGTCCACGGACCACGAACTACCTTAGCACCCTCTCGGGCACGGGCTACGTGTCCCCTTCACGGTCACACAGTGTGACCAGGGCCGAGTGACACTACCCACTTGCCCCTTCACCCCTCACAGCACAACCGGGTCATGGGACCCCCGTAGGCCCGACTACGCTGCCCACCGCCATGCACGACCCCGTCCTCACTCTTCCACCAACCACCCCCCACAGTCACTACCCCGATATACCAAACAATGACCTACCTGGGGGAGTCCTCCATGGCGTAGATCCTCCCGTGCACTGGGTCCGGCGAATCCATCTTCGCCTGATGGCTCAGCTTGTCGTTGCTGGGACGGGTGTGGCAGGGGGTGTCACCAGGCACGCAGGTGGGGGGTGTGAGTGGACGAGGCTCACATGGCGAAAAGCCTGGGACACACTTCACTTGCCCTGGCACACCCGCGACCCAGATGGAAGAGAGAGAATCCAGTTGCAGAGCGAGAGAGAGACACGTCGTGCACGGTTGGAAGCCAAGGAGGATCTCTGCAAAATTTAAGTTACTGGATTGAAAACCATGACGAAGTAACAAAGCGAGAATGTGAAGTAAAGCAAACAAAAATGTGACGACCTATCTCAGAAATGTTGGGCGAGATCTCGTCTCCGTGTAAATATGTGCATACTTATCTACCCTACATTCCGATATCCTGTGTATTGTTCTGGGTTTTTGTGGCGAGTTGTTAATCAACAATTTGGCACAATCACAATCAACCTGATGCAAAAAAATCAATATTTGAATGCGGCTATAATGCATTTTCAATTTAACAGCAACCGATATAAATCCAGAAGAACCGCTTTTACGTGCCAGAAATTCCATTCATTTTATATCAATTTGGATCATCGTTTACATCCCTTCTTTTGAAATGGGTCAGTTTCATGCGTACATAGTGTATTGACCCGACTTATATAAATACCTTGACAGAAATACAATCCATATAAAAGGATAAGAACTTGGCAATCATTTTCAGACATTTTCAGACAGTTTGCATATACATACTCGAAGAGAAGCCTGATAAGCAATATTTTGCTTAAACTCAAAAATGTGAGTTTGACTTTTTTGTATATACCGTGTCCCAGGGTAGGTTAGACAGTAATCCATGACCTGTGGAATTCGACCTGGTTGGAATCTATTTATACACTCTTCGGTGCAGGGTAGGTGGTAATCATAGCAAACAGTTTTTATCCCGGAGGATTTATCACATCCCCTTTTCGGCCTTCAATCCGACTTTCCGCACTAACCCTCAAATTTGCGATTTTCCAGCCGCTTGCGAAATGTCCTGGTTGATTTTTTGCCATTAACGTTTGAATTCTTCCCGCTTTTTCGCATTGGAGTTTAGGTTAGAGTATTTTGTTTTACAAAAGGCCTAAAACTTATTGATCGGTCGCAATTGAGGAACACTTGAAAGGTTTTCTTTTTGAACGTCAAAATCGACTTCTTCAGCACGAAAGTACGCGGTTGAAACTTTGGTGTCATGGGCGCTTGGGAGGTCCGGCGAAAATCAAATTGCATTCGGATTATGAAGTTTCCTTAGCCAGAGCTGTGCCCGCTTCAAAAATTCGTTTTTGTTAACTTTTGTATTTATGGTACCTTTTCAAATATAAGGTGGCGAAATGTTGCCAAAACTGTCCGGCCTCAGCCAAACTACGAATTTCGTAAGGAATTTGGTTTTCACTTTAAATTCACGTTGATATTCCACATTATATTGGCGGAGCGAAAAAATTTCAATTCCGGAGTCTCTGAGAAATCAACTTTGCCGTAGTTCCCGTCATAAGTATCGATAATTTTTAATGACATTTATCCACACTTTTTTTTCTAATTTTTGTGCACTCTGCTTTTTTGGTCCGTAACATTCTTTGGGAGACTTTATTTATTTTTTTTCGTAACCCTCAGTTTGTGAACTTAAATGTTGCGGAACAAACATTTTGAAATTTGCAGTACCCGAGCAGCGCCACAAATTTACGTGGAAGCGTTCGGGTTGAAAAGTGTTTTTATGCCTTTCGAGTTTTGATAGGTGGCTATGAAAAGAGGTCGCCTGGAAATTTTTTAAAATTGCACTTTTTGGCATCCTCATACTTCGAAATATAAAGGTAGATTGCCCTTTTGTGACACCTTTCTGCGTTTAAGTACTGCCACGTCATGTTCGAGTCACGTCAAGTGACGATTTTGTAGTTGTGAAAAACTCGATTCGCGAGATTTTCACTTCGACCCAGATTTCTATTGAATTTCATCGTTTTAATAAAAAATGCTTTACACCTGCTGGAAGCCCTTTAAATTGCGTTTCAAAAAACTAAGATAGCTAACCAACAATCTCCACTAATTGCGCAGTATACTGTATAATCCAACTGTCTAACCAAACCTGGGACATGCCTTATTTCTTATTACATGGGAATGGAGGTCTCCCATCGTTTGCGTTTCGATTTTGAGCTAGCAAAATTAGTGTCAATAGATCACTAATTTGATTGATTTGAAATTTGGAACAGACACGGTTCCCCAACGGTCATGGTTGGAAGATATTTGCATCGTAAGAGGAGAACAGCACAGTTAGTTTGGAAAATAAAAACTTTTTTCCTTGTTTTCTGCTCTTTTGGTAAAATATTTCTGCCAAAAAACTATGTATGCCTCAGCCCAAATAGTTTGAGAACACAAAAGTATTCATCCTGCACACAATTGCACCGATGTATTGAGTCACGTAAGGTTTCATGAACTGGGGCGGACAGAATCTTATGGAACACTGTAAAAAAAGTTGGGTAAAATTGCCACCAATACAACTGTTGGATAAAATTCGCCCGGGATTGCACGAATAATAAGCAAAATTTGATAAATTTTACTCAATTTTGAGTAACATTTATCCAACTTGTTGCTTTGGTGGCAATTTTGCTCAACCTTGAGTAAATATTGGTGATTTTTTTTAGTGTGAATCTTATGTAGGGTAATCACCCCAATATATGTAAAAGAGCGCAATTCAATCAGTTCAGCTCAATCCAATTTACCGAATTGTGTAGAAATAACAGAATTAGTAAAAATATGTAAAAACATATAAAACTAATTCTTGAAATAAAATTCAAAATTCTTCAATTAAAAAAAATCAAAACATTAAAAATCTTTATAATATTTCCAGGAAAATGATTTATCTAACATTATCCATCTGCTTTATAAGCTTATGTTTTCTTGGATTGGTTCGGCCTCAAATATCCCTCGGAACACCAGTCAAAATCACAAATTATGGTTCAGGAAATGCCCTCTCAAGCCAGTCATACCCCGCAGTCTGGGCCTTTAAGGCTAAGGGGTCTGCAAATTTCGCGTGGGTTTATAATTCTGACGGGACAATAACAAATTACGACAGCTCAACGACCGGTGGGACGCGTGGCTGCTTAACGGATCCCTATGGCGGCCAATACATTTACCTGGAACCGTGCAACGCCACAAATAGTTTCCGGTCATGGGAACTCGTCAAATCGAAGAGGAATGGAATATATCAACTAAAAAATTTCGGGTCACACACCTGTCTGAGTAATGACGTAAAGTGGATCGTGAAAAAGCAGGACTGCCGCAACGCCGACGATGGTCCGCACATTTATCAACAATGGAGTGTGAGTATACTCTCACCATCCTAATGGATAACTTGGGACTTGCTTATGTGTCACTATTTAGTTGTGCATCCATTAAGTAAATATGTTGGTCATATGAATCAATTAATAAATACATACTTGGGAAGGACAATATACCAATTTATTTTAAACTAGTTCTCTATTAAATTAGTGGCGGAAAATTCGAATCAGTATGACAGATAATGAATAGGCAAGCCATTTTCTATTTCGTAGTATTAGAGGGGTCGTCTCAATAAATCCAAACTGGCTCTATCCGGATTTAATGTCAACCAAACCCAGTTGGACAAGTAAACAGAATACAAAAGATCATTATTTCGCCCACCATGAAACACAAATAATGTGCTGTTATTTAAGCTGAAAAATTTTGCTTGACAATAAAATATGCAGGAAAGAGTACATGTTTTGTATTATAAGCATTGTGCATACAATCCTGCAAATGCATTCATGAACACAGTAGATTTAAAAAAGTTAGCTTTTAACCCATGTATTTATTTTTTTCCAACAATTACATATGCCAGAAATTTGATAAATATATGGGCACCTTCTCTAATAGACTCCATAAGAAATACGTAATTTTTAAGCAACATATGCGTGTATAAGTTACTTCGGAAACTTATTTTGACTTTTTATGATTTCAACAATTTTTATTCAGGTTAGGGATTTTTAATGTATTTACGACTCCTTTGTTAGTCAGCTTTTCTGATGTGTAATTTGTGTAACGCAATGATAATTAGTGAAATAAAAACTTTTGTGGAAAAAAGTTACTTCGTATTTATGTAGTTATTGTAAACATGACGAATTAATCGAGCGAGAATGAGCAGTAAAATAAACAAAAATGTGACGATTCATCAATCTCTGAAATGTTGGCCGAGATCTCGTCTCCGTGTAAATATGTACTTATCTACCTACATTCCGATATCCTGTGTATTGTTCTGGGTTTTTGTGGCTAGTTGTTAATCCGTAATTCTACATAATCACAGTCAACATGATACAAGGAAAGTCAATACTTGAATGCTCCAATCATGCATTTTCAATTTAATACTACAAGAAACTGACCGATATAAATCCGTACGAACGGTTTTTATCAGCAATTCCATAAATTTTATTTCAATTTGGATCATATTTTAAATCCCTTCCAGTGAAATGGACCATTTTTATGCGTACATAGTTTATTGACCCGGCTTATGTAAATACCTTCATGGAAATACCATCCATATAAAAGGATAAGAACTTGGCAATTATTTTCAGGCATAGTTTGCACTTACATACTCGACGAGAAGCCTGGTGAGCAATATTTTGGTTAAAGTTGAAAATGTGAGTTTGATTTCCTTTTACATGGAATGGGGGTCTCCCAGCGTATGCTCCTCGATTTTGAAACTGTGTCAATGCGTAGATTATATATTAGCTTAATATGAAATTTATAACCGACACGGTCACGTTTGGCAGAGATATTTGCACCCGAAGAGGAGAAATCGTGCAGTAAATTTGGAACGTATAAAATTTTGACAACTTTACGTTTCTCTGTTTTCTGCTCTTTCGTAAAATATCTAAGTTAAAAGAGCCCTTTGGAAGGTTTTGTCGTTTGAAAATTTCATATTAATCAGATTTGCGAATTAATGACACTAGTTTAAGATTTGTGAGTATACGCTGGAAGACCTCCATTGTTACATCAATAGTTTGTTAAACATGATATAATTTAACTAAATTTACATTCTAAATTACAGAAAATATCCGCGGTCCCTCGTGCAGGGGAGCTTACCATGAAGCCACTCAGGTCAGATGTGGCGGCAGGTTCGGGAGATTGACCAACAAGAAAAAGAGATATTGCTGTAGGAATCCATAAATGAATAATTTTGCAGGCAAGTCTATCAAACTTATGATACAAACGCCGTATCACCAGAAAGAAATCAACTTTTTTTTTACTTACCAGCAATTATCAACAATTAAGTCAAAAAATAATTTGTGAAACCTTAAAATTTCGATTTATCACAAATATATTATCACTAGCGTATAAGCCCGTCTCCCGCCGGGCTTATTTGATTTTCATGAAAATTAAGTACGATTGTTCAAAATTAATTCCACCGAATTATTTTTTTATTGTATTTATATTATTAGCTGGAAATGTGCATGTGTTAGCAAGGGAAATGAAACTTTCTCCACTTTCACTTCCGTCACGGAAAATTACTTTCACTTCCGTTGCAGACAAACATTTCCAGCTTATAATATAGATAATTTCATCCGGTAATTCTAATAATTTATTTCTACATAATTCACAATTTATTCCAATAATTTATAATAAATACTTTTAAAGATTGACTTCGGTCGGATAACCAACATAAAATACATGCGTTTTTTTCTTATTAACATAATCATTTGGCATTTTTGAAATACATAAATAATTTATAAAATTTTAATTTAAAAAACTTCATGCCGCAACCAAACCCATTATGGTGCCCACAAAGACTAATTTTGGGCCTACGTAAGCACACACTTCTTTAGTGGCTTCCCACCACGTGGCCGACTCGGACATCCCAATTGCGCATTGAAAAATTAGCAGAGCCAACAAAAATGCGACGAGGATCCTGGTTCGGGAAATCATGTTCAACTTTCCGGTAAAAAATGCTGTAATAAAATATGAACAGATTACAAATCGGGCATAAATTTCAATTTTATGAACAAACCTTTAATTTAGGTGAAGACGATACTGCTTCTTTGATGCTCTTGAGACGATATTTTACGCCAGACTGATATCAAGTAATCAATGCCATGCAAGTTTATATAGACTCTGATAAGTGAGTCGTTGTGCCTACTGGTAAGCTTGCATACAGTCGGCGTCAAAACTATAAAGGCACTTAAATCAAATCAAATCTAATCTAATCACATTACAAATGATTGAAAGGTGTACCTTGGTAAATAATATGTCTAAAACTTTAAAAAATCGGTTTGTCTCTAATATGTACCTTCGGGAACCTTGGTTATCGAAATATCCTAACTTTTAATTCCTACAAAATATTGGGTTAAATTTAATGCACCACCGAATAAGCTGAAATTTGCCACAAATTTTAGCTGAATTTGCCACCGGATGAATTTTTTCCAACTTTATTCTAAAAGTAGAAAAACGCGCAGCAGCGTTAGGTAAATGAACGAAGGTTTGTATACATTTTTAAAATGTAAATTTCCGCTATTTAATTCCCTTAAAGTGACATTAAAATCCTCAAAAGTTTACCACTGAAATTGATCACCAAATAATCTTTAATCTATGTTTCTAAATACATAGATTTAGTAATTCTTGAAATCAATATGCTCAATGTAAGCGATGGTGATATAATTTTGACTCTTAGTGTATCATCGCTCTTATTTATGCTTACGTGGCTTACACCCGTTGTTGTTCAAATCTATATAAATTACGCATTTGCTTCCTCATGATAAAAAAAATCACGATAAACCCGATAATATTCTCCGTCCCGATTGGTTTTCTAAACGTTGGATGGACAAAAGTGTGGATGGACACTGAACCAACCTACTGTGTGCATAAGAATGATAATACGGTGATGAACAAATTTGAGTAATGTTGGGATTCCTCTTGTAGGAAAAGGATTGCATAAATGGAGTGATGACAAATACTTAGGTACATCTATAGGATGAAAGATCATCAAATCCATTGACTGAAAAAAGCACATGATGGTCATACCTATGTACATTAATCGTGGATCCAACCTATCGATCGTGATGTCCAAAGTTATGGGAAACTTCTCTTAAAGTACAACTGCATATACGTCGAACTTACTAGCCATTTTCTTATGAAGTCTTGAGCATGGAAATTCGGTAAATTCAATTTATTAAAATTGAAACAACGACCAGGATCATCAGTTTGTAATTATGGCCAGATAAACATTAAATTTCAGGGGTATCATACATAAATTCACATTCACATTTTTGCAATCATGCATACGTTTAAAGAATTAATTTCATTATATAAATTCTCAAATAATTAAAGTCAAGTTATTTGTAACCCGTCGTTGGAATGGTATCAATGGTTTAGCTCGTGGTGCCAGTTCCTGTGATTACACCTCTAATAATATCGCCAACGAGTGGAATTTAGGTACTTCGTGGATCCGGATGTACTATCACAATATATATTACATATACATTGATCGACCAATTTCTGAAATTGAAGTGCCCTAACCTTGCTACACTATAAACTGTTTTTATGAAGATTGCTTCACCCAAATACAACTTGTGGCCAAGAATGTTGCAAAGCGTAACAAATATTTTTGAGGCACACATTTAATTTTGAATACGATTTGGACAAGTATTCAATAGCTACATACTTTGATAAATCTGACAGCGATACAAAACGATAGGAATGTTTATCAGCAAGTAGAAAGCTTGACAACGTCTAATGGCTTTGTAAAGTTTTGGATTCTTCAGGACGTGTTGAAATACAGGGTGTCCCAAAATGTTGTACAAATTTCCAAGCCACCCCACCACAAAAGGCGGATAAAAATAATTCAAATCTGTGACCAAAATCGGATAGAGCAAATAGTTTTGCGATTTTTTTGTCAAAGAAGTTTGAAAAATGCGCCACCACGGCGCTCAGGTGAAGTATAGGTACTAATGAAACGCTTCTCCAGTCGATTTTTTACGATAAGCGTTACAAAAAAGCTTAAATTATATTTCTATGAAATGAATTTGCAATTAATTTATACAATGGTTAAATAAGCTACAAATAAGCCGTAAATAATCTGGCCCAAAAATTAGCGGTTGTTTAACTTATCTTCGATTTCGCACTTAAAATTGTCCAGGTGGTTTAACATTCGGGGCAAAAATGGAGAGCATGACTGAGTGAAGTATAGAAGAGCTTGAAATATCCTGATCTCTAACTCCTGCAAAATTTGTTTACGATAGAATGAGCCGTATACATACATAAACCACCTTGTATATGTATGTATCTATACTAGCGTATAAGCCCGTCTCCCGCCGGGCGAGCGAAAATTATGAGCTGGTAATGTCTATCAGCAACGGAATTGAAAGCAAATTTTCCGCAACGAAAGCGATAGTAAACTTCAAATGGCGCGAAAATTAAAAACAAATTATTTTTTAAAATTCAATGTCTGATGGTATTAATACTGGGATGGTTGTCAGATGGTGGTTATTTTGTTTGGTTATCTTGACAATTTCGCTGCGACGTGAAGTAGAAGTGAGGTCAATGTAGACTCACCGAGTACAGTAGCATGTCGTAGTAAAGTAAATAATATCCTGGCTGGCTAGCGCCTTCGTCATAATATTTCCTTATGTGTCTTTTGTTATTCACGGTGTTTGTTAAATTAAATTGGAGCTGCAATTGCATTAAAGTGAAACCACAAACCTCCGCCTTAAAACTATAAACTACGATGCGGTGTCTTACTCAATTACGGACCTCACTTACACTATCTCCTGTGGAGTGACAATTTTTGTGCGCTCACGACTCACTCCTACTCAACTCCTACCCCACTCCGCACTGGAGTGACAAATTCAGAGTACTCGTGACTGACTCCCTCTCCACTTCCACTCCACTCCGCAGTGGAGTGCCAATTTCATAGTACTCGCGACTCACTCTTACTCCTACTCCGCAGTGGAGTGATAAATGTAACTCATTTCCACTTCACTTCACAGTGAAATAACCACCCAGGATAGCTACTATTAGACAGTCACTCCCAGATAAGCACCATCAACCAGCCACTCCCAGGTAACCACCATCAGACAACCACTCCCAGATAAGCACCATCAGACAACCACTCCCAGATAACCACTCCCAGAAAACCACCATCAGACAACCACCCCCAGATAAGCACCATCAGACAACCACTCCCAGATAACCACTTCCAGATAACCACCATCAGATAACCACTCCCAGATAAGCACCACAATTTTGAATTTTTGCGCCATTCGAAACTTCACTTTCTCTGCTTTCACTTCCGTTGCGGAACATTTACTTTCACTTCCGTTGCCAACAGACATTTCCAGCTTATAATTTTCGGTAGGACACTTAGAACAAAATAAATAAGAATCACTACCCCATCTATAAGTTTGTACTGTACCTTCCAACTCCTCGTTCTAGAATCCAAATTAATTGTGCTCGACTAACCAAGAAACTGAAGCAATATATACATAAGCGGGTCGCCCACCGAGACCACCAATGGTCGTATGTTATGGGGTTTACTCCCGGTCAGGGAAGAGAGATAGAGAGCCACAGTATACATATAGAGTGCTGGCGCAACACAATCTCTCATCTATGCTCCCGGTGGCTCGTCCCGGCTGAGGGCGGGTCGCCCACCAAGACCACCAATGCTCATCCGTAATGGGGTTTAGTCCCGTGGCTCGTCGCGGCTGAGGGCGGCCCGCTTGGCCACCTGAAGTCTTGTACCACCAATGATAGTGGAATTTGACACCTTGGCCCTAACACCATCAGATAACCTACCACAAAAAATCCTTGACCTGAAGTAATTAAAATTAACCAAAATTGATCGTCCTGTACAAGACGATTTACTGCTCAGATTATCAAAATGCTTTTATTTGCACATTGTACAACTCTCCCACCTTCAAGAAAACCATTTATGCAAAACTGGAAATTAAATATAAGCCAAAGTATCACGCTCCGCCTTAAAACGGATCAAATGCAATTAACATGGGAGAGATGAACAACGTTCCCAAATTTGCCAAATACAAGACCTATTGAAAAATTTTAGTTCCTATCCTAGAAAAAATATTGTAATCGAAAAACTTCAGTCAAAAATTTGAACTTATTTCAACACATGTGGTCAAAAATCTCAAAAAAGGTGACCAAAAACAGTGGCGAAGCACTAATTGTGAGCGCCCAACAAAAACGTCTCCAAATTTGGCGGAAGGGGTGTACGGACCATTGGAAGCAAAACTTAATTAGCTTTAACCTTTGTCCCTTTCTGACCAAAATTTCGCTTTAAAAAATTCATTCGTTGAGTTTATATGTGCATTTGACCAAAGTTGCATTACTTCCGGAACACCCTCTATGTGGTTATCAAGTCAATTTGCAATTAATTTACAAAATAGTCCATGGCAGACACATTCTTAGAAGTGGGGTTACGATGATAACCAAAAAGTAGACGTATGTGACTCTATCGCCGTGGTTATAAATTTGTCAGCAAATGGTTATCAATATATTAGTTCTGGTGACAATTTCATACCAAGTCGGTGAAACTTAATAATTAGTCGATGACAATTGTAACCACTCGATGACGAATTTATAACCACGGCGGTAGAGTAACATACGTTTACTTTTAGGTTATAATCGTAACCCCATTTCTAAGAGTGCATGTCCAAAATCAATCCAAGTGTCTAGTATAATTATCACCTTTGAAAAACAATCCATTTCTAAATGTCCGAAAAAGCTGAAAATTCCGTTGGGCGATTTAGCCAAGCAGGAAAACCCCAAATTCTAACGCAGCATGGCCTATCTGTTAGAATCTAAGAAACAAACTATCTAGAGGCTAATTAAAACTGAGTTGGGAAATAATATAACAAAAGGACCTTTGTAAGGTGTGTCCAGGAATAAATGGTTCCGCGCATAATGACCTGCATATTACGACCTTATTAGTAGATATTTATAAAGCCTTTCGTAAATTGTTGGAAGGAACCAGACATGTCAATTTTTGCTTCGAAGGATTTTTCTTACTTGATTTTTGGCCCCCGATTCGACTTTCCGCACCAACCCTCAAATTTGAGATTTTCACTCGAAATTCGAAATGTCCTTGCTGATTTTTCGCCATTAACGTTTGAATTTTTCCAGATTTTTGGCCTTGGGGCGAAGGTTAGAGTACCTTCTATTCCACAAGGCCCAAGCATTTTCGATTTCTCCCAAATAGGGATATTTGGAGGGTTTTTTATTTTAAGGCCATTTGTCTCAATGTAAGCCTCGCTTGGAATTGTGTAGGGAATTTAGATTTGATGTACAACTTCTGTTGGTAATCTATACTCACTGGGTTCCCTGCGTGGAAGAATGTGCTTTACGAAGTCTTTCAGGGATCCAGATCGACGTGGGTATCGTCAGAATTGGTGAAAATTTTTCACGACATTTATCGACACGTTTTTTTGCAACTTTTTCTAACTCTGCTGTTTTGGTCTTGAACGTTTTTTGTGAGACTCCACTTTTATTGTTTTCTGCAATCCCCAGTTTATGTACTTTGATGTTGCGGAACAAACTTTTTAGAAATTTGCAGTAGCCGAGCAGTGCCACGATTTGACGTGGAAGAGTTATTGTTGAAGAATTTTTTAATGTCTTTCAAGATTTGGGGGTGGCTGTGACGAGAGTTGATCTGAAAAGTTTTTTGAATTTCACTTTTTGTTATCCTCATACATCGAAATATACAGAGTGTTTGTTGTTTTGTAACATATTGCCGTTTTAAAGTACTGCCACGACCTGTTTGAAGGACAAAAAGTGAAGATTTTGCAGTCGTGAAAATCTCGATTCGAGAGGTTTTCATTTTCACGGCGATTGCTACTAAATTTCATTAGTTTAACCAAAAATGCTTTATATCCCCTGAAGGCCCATGTAATTACGTTTCAAAAAATAAAAATGGAAAATTGCAAAATACACAAACTGCGCAGTGTAGGTACACAGTACTCGGTACCATTTATTCCTGGACAAGTTATAGGTTTACGCATTTAGAAACCACAACTTTTTTCTGCTTACTGTTGAGTAATTCGGCAAAAACTGACGACGATGATTTTGGTTTTGTAGTCATAAAAAATGTAGAAGTCCCTTGTTAGTCATCCGACATTGACCGTTCGTTTTTTTCCGATTTTTGATCGTGACAAGATGACTTTTATACCGACGAATTTACGATTTTTCGCGAATTTTGGAACGCTTAAAATAATTAGTCGAAGAAAACCACCCTACAAAAGTGACTGGAAGTATTTTTGTCGGACAAAAAGCGATGCAATCATAAAGTCGAGAATAAGGGACGTCACATGCAGCAAGTTTCGCGTCGAAAAAGACCCGGTTGTAGGCTAGAAAAATTATCAAACCCTTCCACGAATAAATGAATCACCCTTCTGTACTTTGCCAGTATTTGAAATTCATTAAAATTATAAAGTCGTTCAAATTTTCAAACAACATTGCATGTGGATTTTTTATAAATGAAGTAAGGCAATCTGAAGAGACATGTTTTCAAACTTTTGGATTCGCGCTAAAATTAGAAAATTTGCAGCATTTTAAAAAACCGAGGTGTTGGCTGGAAAACAACTTAAAATTCGCATTCAAATTCCTTATGAAAAATGCAAAATTCAAAAAAATACAGGGACGCATTTATTTTTTTGGTGAACAAAAAAAATTGGTCTTATGGTGATCTGGGTTTTGCACGTAAATGATCGGCATTGAGTCGGTAAATGAAGGCATATTTCCAATTGCGGCGTGGGTTTGTCCCCAATTTTAACAATACTCACCAATAAATACGGAAAAGAACTTAATATCTAAAAACGTAAAATTTAATTTCACTTTTTTAAACGCTATCTAAATCAATGTAGTAAAATTTCTGAAGTTTTAAATTTTCAAAATTTAAACTTACAAGTTTGAAGCGCTAAAACTTTTTGCCACCTTCTCACATATTTCTCCAATTTTTGGAATTTAGATTTAATAAATTTCGTGACATTGCTAATTACATTTGTCAAAATTGAAAAGACATTATATTTGTAAAAATTTTTACCAAAACGTCATGAATACAGAAGCCTATGTAAATTGACAAACTTTTCCGTTAGACAATTAAAACAAAGTTTTATAGATCCGTCCAAAACGACGCTGAATCATTATTGACAAAAATTTACACCAAATCTTAAAATGGCGCCAAAGGTTAAAAGGTTCATTTGCGATTAACAAAAAGCGAACAACACCGCGAACCACACCAGCAAAAGTCTAAAACCCGGCGAACCATACCGCGAACTACACCCGGTGTGGTTAGCGATGTGGTTCAGTCCGCAATTTTCCGAAGCAGTGGTGCGCCGATGCAGAAACTAGCAAATGTGCCAAAATCAGGATTAAGCAAATTAGCAAAAAATTTGCAAATTTTGGCATGTATCTCGAAAATTTGCTAAGCCCGCCCCCAATATTATCTGTATTACGAAATATTGATCTACTCAATACTACGCAATTTTAACCTATTATAGATTAAACCTGTAAGAGCTCATTGTATAAATATGCCATTCTAATAAGGCCTGGGTAAGAATATTTTGATATGAATAATATCTTATTGAGTAAAAAGCCACATGCGAGCGCCGAAGGCGCGAGCGGCTAGAGGCGCCTAATTTCTTTGCCCAGGTAAGATTTTGGGCTAGATCGGGGCCTGCTGGAGGGTCACCACTTCATAAAATCCCCCCGCTCGCAATAAATTTTTTTAGAGAGGTTTGTGTTATCATATTTACTTCCCCAAGGAATGGGCAAGATATTTTGAAGCGAATGTGTTATTAGGAACAATCAAAAATTTCATACGTGACAATGATTGGAGCACTCCAGATATTTTGATTATGGCAATTTGCAATTACATAAATTCAAATCTCTCTGCCTGTTTGCAATGGTGGCAGCTGGTGGCAGCAGTTTTTGTAGATGAGATATGGGGGATTAACAATACATTTACGGTTCCTCGAAATAGCACAGGAATAGACAGGATTTTCAACTTGAAGTTTTTCCCATTTAGCCCAATGTTATAAGCCAAGTTTGAGCATAGGCCACGTCTTAGCCAGTTGGACAATTCAAATGAAACTTTCCAAAATTGAACATCTATGTCAAAGGTACTAAAAACGGTACTTTGTTTTCGAATCGGTGAGAATAGCCAACAAATTCCATATTCCAGACCAGCGTGCGGTGTGCTGAAATTTTGAATATAATCTCATTCACCCCCAAAAAATATGAGACTGGGTTGTTTTTATTCGGGCTTGGGCTTTTCCTAAAAAGCCCAAGCCCGGCTGTGCAAAAGCCCGCCCAGGCCCAACTAAATTTGGTTCCTCAAAAGCCCAGGCCCGCCCAAGCCCGGTTGCTGACAGGCCCACCCGCCCAAAGCCCAATGGGCCTGGGCGGGCCCGGGCTAGCCCACTTAAAGCCCAGGCCCGGCTCACTTCTAGTCTGTGCATCCTAGTGAGCGAGTTGACTTTTCCTGCTCGCCACTTACCAGTAATGTAAATGATTTTTGTCACTAAAACTTCTAATTTGCAGCTAATACAAAATGGATTGATTTCGTTTTGGTGGCAATAACTTCCTAAGTTTGTGCTTTACAATTACCATTGGGCAAAAATTCCATCATAAATCTCAAAGAAAAGTATTGGACTGAAACATGTAAGTTATCATGTTTTTAGTCCAATACTTTTCGTTGAGACTTATTATGGAATTTTTGCCCAATGGAAATTGTAAAGCACAAACTCAGGAATTTATTGCCACCAAAACGAAATCAATCCATTCTGTATTAGCTGCAAATTAGAAGTTTTAGTCGGGATTGTTCTCCCTTTCTGGTTCACGATGCCCCGTTTGGAGTTTGGGAACGGTCACTCTCAAAATCCAAAGCAACTTTTTACATGCAACTGCCTGCCTTGTTTACATGAAAATCAGCTGCTCTCTTCGCCCCTCCCCCTCCATAGAAAAAAATCTCTCGGTACACAAGGAGACGCAACCGTCGTCTCTGTCTTTTATTTATGAGATTTTTTCAACGTATATGCATTCTTAATTCATCTATTAAATTTGTTAAACATTAATTACGTTTGTTTAACGTAATTAATTGGGTTAAACCCAATTAAGCAAAAGACTTTGTCTGTCTGTATCCATTCGTCTGTCAGCAGGATTATGGAAAAACGAATATCGAGATAAACAAGAACTGTTTGAGGCATCATATATATGACCCATGTGGGAGGATCCTGTAAAATTTTGGGGTCAATCGGACCACCTCCCCCAGCGACGTCGAGGGGTATGGTCACATATGTATTTTTTGAGAGAATAACTGGTTTTCACACTATTGCTTAGTTCCGTTTCTACGGTTTATTTATTTTGCATTTTTGACATTCAGAAATATATAGATATGTACATAGTTTGCGTAATTTAATTCGGAATAAAGTTCATCCTAGCACAGCAATTAAGTCCATCACTGTGCCAATGGTGGATAATTTAGGTCCCACATAGCCACACACATCCTTAACCTTGTCCCACCACTTGGCCGACTCGGACATCCCAATCGAACATTGCAGAATTAGCAGCGCCAGTAAGAACACGACGAGGATTCTCGTTCGGGAAATCATATCCGGTCTTGGCGGAAATATGTACTATTATGATGGATTAGAACAGACATAACGGTTAAAAAACTATATTTCTTCATTCAAAATTCATTCAAACTAATAATCAAAAAATTTCTTTATTATTAATGTATGCAAAACTTGAAAACAAATATTGATACATACAAATTCGACTTGTTTGATAGATTTCTCAATGTTCCCCATAGAAAATGAGTAGAAAAAAGGAAAATGATGCAAAGAAAATGAGTAATGAATATTAAGAATTCATTGAGTCTTAATGAATTCGAAATGAATAAATATTTATTCAATATTAATTCATTCCAGAATTTTGGAAAAAATAGTCTCCGATTATTCATAAGTTTAATGAATAATGAACGAATAATTAATTCGTCTCCTATTAAATAAATAAAAATGTGGGCAGTTGTGGATTATAAATCAAACATTAAGCTGAATTTTATTTTTGTATTAACAAACCTTTTACCTGAAGAAAATACTATTTTCTTGCTGCACCTTGTACGATATTTTACGGCACACTGATACCAAGTACTCAATTCCATACGAGTTTATATAGACTCTGATAAGACATGAGTTTATGTGCCGACTTGTGAGCTTGCATACACTCCGCGTCAAAATGGGAAGATCACCGATTGCATGCACTCTTATGGAGCAAAATGGTGTTAAATCAGCATCGATCGCGGTACATACACATGTGGCCGTGTGCTTATGTATATGACATCACCGGTACGGTAATAACGGACACTACCGTATAGCAATATATGTAGGTTCACCAATGTTTTGATAAACGTTTTTTAAAAACATCGGTATTATAAAAACGTTTTGATAAATGTTAAAAATGTTGTTAAACGTTTTTATGTATAAAACATTTTTAAAACTTAAAAATGCGGATAAATGTTTTGGTTGTGATAAAATCAGTAGATTAATTAGCCCTTTCATGAAATTCGTACCTCTACATATATTCGTATTACAATATTCATCCAGTTATGAAACCTGCACGTGAGAGATGCACCATTGTAAACAATATTTTTCTAAAGGTTTACACAAATTCTGCGTTTATCTTTACCCAATACATATCATCGGTAACTCTGGTGCTCAAAGACACCCCAACTTTTAATTCGTTCGTAAGGGAAAGACGCTGCAACCTTTGCAATGTGTATGTATATTTTTACGAAGCTCCGTATGCATAGAATTTTCGGAAACGTAGTGAATTCACGCTATTTATTAAGGGGTGAAAGCCCTTTATAAGATCGTTATGTCCGTCCGTCCGTCTGTCCGTAGCTCCGATAACTTTTGAACGAAAAGACATAGAGACTTGAAATTTTGAACATAGACTCCTAACGTCAATGGACAGGACGAGTTCGAAGATGGACAATGTGACATCGTCACCTGTGACGATGATGTCGTCAGAGTGACGAAAAGTGACGCAAAAATGTGTCACGTGTCACTTTTGGCATGTGACACAGCATTTTCAACGATTTTTCAATGTCGAATTCAATGGTGACCTCCATTTTGACCTCGGAGGTTATCTGAAGGTCATAGGGCATATCTATGTCAATTTAACAGGAAGTTTGATGCTGACTACAATGGTGACCTTTATTTTGACCTGCGAGGTCATATGAAGGTCATAGGGCATATCTATGTCAATTTGAGCTGAAATTTATCCCCGAATTCAATGGTGACCTCCATTTTGACCTCAAATATCACGAAAGGTCATATAAGGATTATCAACTGTTAAACGTGACACATCTGAGACACAAACGTCGAAAACACATCAGAAATATAAATTTTAACAAATTTTCGGGTATAATATGACATTCACTTTCACCCCTTGGTTACTTGCGTTGTAACGGTTTATTACGTTTACGAGAGTGATATGCAAACAAGCTCTCAATATAAACAGAAATTTACTACTGAAATTTGAATTAGCGTATTAATTTTCTAGATATAATCAATGCAAGAGATGGTTTTAAAATTTTGACACGTAGTGTACCATCACTCTTATTTATGCTTATGAGGTTTTGTTCTTTACAAATTGCGCATTTGACTCCTCATGAACAAAAAAAATCACGATAAGCCCGATAATATCCAAAGTTCCGATTGGTTTTCTGAACGTTGGATGAACAAAAGTGTGGATGGACGTTGAATCAACGTACCGTGTGCATAAGAATGATAACACGGTGATGAAAAAATTTGCGTAATGTTGGGATTCTACTTGTAGGAAAAGGATTGCATAAATGGAGTGACGACAAATATTTAGGTACACGTTTAGGATGAAAAGTCATCAAATCCATTGACTGAAAAACTCACGTGATGGTCATTCCTACATATGTAAATCGGAGACATCACGTATCATGATGTAAAAACTTAGGGGAAACTACTCTTAAAGTTCAACGGCATATATGTCAAACGTATTTTCTTACGAAATCTTTAGCATGGAAATTCGGTAAATTCAATTTATTAAACGTGAAACAGCGACCAGGATCATCAATTTATAATTATGCCCAGATAAACATTAAATTTTAGGGGTATCATACATAAATTCAGATTTACATTTTTTCAATAATGCTTACGTGTAAAGAATTAATTTCATTATATAAATTCACAAATAATTCAAGGCAAATTATTTCTTAACCCGTCGTTGGAATGGTAGCAATGGTTTAGTTCGTGATGTTAAGTCCTGTGAGTATACCCCTAATAAGATCGCCAACGAGTGGAATCTCAGTCACCGCATTCAATAATTTTCCCACGACAGGAATTTGTGGCTGAATTTGTCCCACCGACACGACATTTCCTGCCGCTAGGGCTTCGTCCAGTTGGGTCTGCAGGGATGTCATGGTCGCGTTAAGGATTGGGACCAAAGTGTTAACGGAGTTTTGCAGTTGGGTGAGCTGAGACTCTAAAAGGGCGGCAGATACGACGGGTAGTGACGAAGGGTCGTTAAGCGAGGCGCGGAGCTGGGTGGTTGCGACTTGCACCTGATCGCCGAGCGTGGACTGCTCTGCCAGAACGGAAGGAGACAGCGGTACGGTTTCACCGTTGAGGTTCATGATGGTCTTGATTAATAACATGATAAGTGTCATAAGCGCATGTGACACGTTTAGTGTGGACACCTCCGGCAAGCCTGGAAATTGGGAAATTATAACAAGTCAATTTCAAATTTTGAAAAAAAATACTCAAATACACAGAACTTTAAAAAGAATTAAAGATTTTTTTTAAATGGGTGAAACATAATGGACCATAAACTTTGGAAGAAAACTGCGTTTTTACCAGCACGTCGGTTTCAAATTTTGAAAAATTAATTAAAATTGAAAAAAATAATTATCGAATTTTGAAATGAGTAAGACATGCTTGACCACCGTAAATTTTTAAAGAATTCAAATTGAGGCTTTACCCGTCCAAACTACAGCCAAGGAAGCAAACAGGATAGAAATGGGCTTCATCGTTTCTGGAAATTGTGCGAAATTTCGATTTCTAGATTGTCTCGGTTTGAAGGCTAAAACGCGACTGAGCTAATCACCTTGGCGATATCTTGGTTAAAACTGGTTTGTACTTCACGTTCACGATAAATGTTAAAGATGAATAAACTGCGAATTTATAAAAATGAATTTGCGCAACTTGGATAAAACATCGTTCGAGTATACCTAATTTGGTAATTAATTGATATAATGCAAACCTACGAATATATTGATCGCATGGATACACTGCTTATGTAAATAAAATCCATAAATTTGGATATTCGGATAGATATAGGGAGTCATTTTTACGGGGTAGGTTAATCTAAAGCCGAATACAGTTAGAGGACAAAACGAAAGTCGGAGCCTTCAAAACTCGCGGTGGTCTCTTCCCATTCAATTTTTTTACTTTAAAAACGATTAATTAATTTTGATTAATTTAGAACTTCTACATTCATACATACATGAATTTTAACTTTAATTTTCATTAAATTTTTTACACGGAAAAGTTTTAATGCCTTATAGATTATTCATAATTATAATGATCCATATTTCTTGGTTAAAATTAGGACTGCCAATGAGTTCGACTCTTGACTCATTGAGTTAGTGAGTTGAGTTGAGTTTGAGTCGAGAGTCTAGCTCTCGCTTGGAAATGAGTGAGTTGAAAAATAATGAGTTTGAGTTGAGTTACGGAAAATGATCTCGAGTTGACTCATGAGTCAACTCATTAAGGATTTTTTACTTTGTACACTTCGAGATTTTCACCTTGGTGAAAGCAAGCTGATAAATCTCTAGTCAGCGATTTGTGATAAAATTATTCACATTTTTCGATTTTTCCACTTTCAAATCCTCATGAATGTAATGTGAAGCACTTTCTCTCCAGATATCTAAAGCTTGAATTTGCTGGGCTGGACGAAGTAAAAAATGGACAAATGTGCAATTGTCAAACATTTTTTGAACGAGAAATTACAATGTTAAATTCACATACTAAACTGTCCTCCCTATACACGTCGTCATCATATACAGTTTGTTGACTAGCTTATCGAAATTATCACAACAATTTTATATTTCTAGATTCTAATCTTCTGTATGTACAAAATCATGAAAATTGTAATTGGTAGCTACCGATATCGTTCTCAACGGAAAATTTATTTAAAGATCAATAGTTTAACGAGATTTTTGACCCGTTTTGAATGTATTTGTGTAAATAAATATTTTACTCTAAAAAAGGTGAGTCGACTCACATGATATGAGTTGAGTTTGAGTCGTTAATATTTGAGTTGAGACTATTTTGAGTCGAGTTGAGTTAGAGTCAGTGATTTTTCTTAATGAGTTGAGTTGAGTTAACCCTCAACTCAGCTCAACTCAACTCCTTGGTAGTCCTAGTTAAAATCTGATCATGTTTTCATGGAGTTGCTCCCTCTACCTAAATATCCAACTCTGTGTGGTTACATACATTCGTATAAATAAGGAATGAATGGCTATTCATTATTGGGTTAAATTTAATGCACCACCGAATAAGCTGAAATTTACCATAAATTTTAGCTGAATTCGCCACCGGATGAATTTTTTCCAATTTTGGCCTTTTTAACCATATATTACGATGGTGGTTACCACAAAATTAGATGACCTGCCAATAACGTATTTCATGGGTACAGAATTATAAAACCAAAATTTAATTTACAATAGGATTGGTTTATTTATAATCTTTGACGTCTTTTTTTTAAATACACCTGAAATTAAATAACAATGAGCGCTTTTTTAGCTTTCGCAACCCTACCCCTTTTACGCTTTTCACCCAATGGAACGGTTTTGGCTTCCGGTCGAACATCATAAAACGTATTCTGAATTGCTAAACCAAGTATATGCTTACAAACATGTTCTTTTAAGTAAACGGGACAAGAACATGTGGAATTAGTCCATTGATTGGTGTGGAATTTAACCATCCATAATCTCGTGGTGCTGGCCAAGTACGAGTCGAAAGTTCTCCAAGATTTGTTCGTATTCATTCGCAAGTACTTTTTAACATCGTCCTCCTTCAAAGGAGGTTGACCTGAAGCAGCGACGAAATAATGCCTAACATTAAGTTCATCTTCAGGTGTGTTATACCTTGTGCTTGGTTTTGATTTGTTCCAATTGAAAGCATCGGTCTCCAGCCTGAGTGAAATAATGGGAACTTTTGCAAAAGTTTTATGGTTCTCATGTATTGGGTCCCTCTGCTCCGACCAATCTTTGGTTTGGCTTAACATGAAGGAAATGAACTCCCCCATTGGCAACCTTGCCCTGAAGGTGCCTTGCTGCTTAATCCAAGCATTGGTTGACTCGAGTCCATTATTTGTGGACGGGTAGCCAGGGGCGTATCCTTCATACCAGTTTGTTCTGCTGTTTAGCCATTCATCTCTGAAGTAATTCACAAAATCTTGAGTTGCGTCTGCAGAGTACTTTTTTATCCACAAACTTTTTGCAACCTCAAACTCCTCGGGGGACCGAGCTAATTGAAGCTTTTTTATGTCCTGCCTTAATTGTGGCCAAATTGCTCGATCCTTAACCAACGATTGTTTTTTATCGATGTTTGAAGTAACATGGAACCAGCAGTGCACCCTTTTGTAGTCTGTTCCGAAGACATCTTAAAACCCAATAGTGATAGCCTGAGCTGAATCTGCAACTAGCACTTTCGGGGCCAAGTCTCCTTTAGTCCCCTTTTTAAGGCCTTCGAATAGAAATTTAAAATCGCTAGATGTCTCTCCAACAGTAACAGCAATAGCGGTTGGGTGAAAAGTTCGGTTTTTGTCAGATACCCTTACTACTAGCACAGGAAACCCCTCCCAATTTAACTTGTAAGTTGCGTCGGTGTGAATCAGCGGAGTCATCTGAGTAATTGTCAAAAGTCTTAGAGTTGATACCAGTATTCCAAAACTTTTATCTTCATAATTAAACATTGAGTGGACTACGAATGGTTGATCAAGGGTACTTGGGATCTGGGAATGGTTTTCTGCCAGTGCCTGGAGAGCTCTAAGGGAAACGATTGGGGGATGGATTTGTGACCGATAATACGCCAAAAAGTTTTTTAGTTGGGTTGTGGTCGGGTTTGTTTCATTGATCTTACGTAACTCGGTGAGAATCATTTTTGGTTTAGTAATCCCTCTCTCCAATAGTTTGACAATTTCGTCTATCATATTCTGGCTGATGCCTAAGATAACATTAAACTTTCGTTATTCAACTTTAAAATGCATATACATGAATAGCGTGGAATCTAAAGTACCTTTTTGCTTTTTTAAAGCATGGTCATGCTGTTCTATGGTGGCGTGAAGTTCGACAATGGAAGATACGGCCTTCAAAATTAGTCTCCGTTTGGCAGAACATGCAGAGGAAGATCGACAATTGTACTTCATTGTTACCCCTTCTTCAGTAGAATATTTACAGTGATAAATCCACTGTCCCTCTTCTTTTAAATAAGCCTCGGCCTCTTTTTTATTTTCAAATTGACGAAGAACAGACCACTCGCACCTACGCCTGGGTTTCTTAGATTTGGGAGAATTTTCCTCAGAGAGAGAGGAATCAGCATCACTGGTCCAGTTAAAAACTTGGGAACACGCCATTTTTTTGGTTTTAAAAATTTTTGTTCAGATATATCTTAACTGCAGGACAACTGACTGTGAGAGTGATGACCAGCCGAATGGTAATACATATTCAGTCAGTTCTCATGCCCATAGTCTTGTCAATGATTCACAAATATATACATATGTACATGAAACGATAAGGAAATTACCATGATTCCTCGAGATTATTGTAATTATATTATTGTGTTATAATCCTGTACCCATGAAATACGTTAGTGGCAGGTCATCTAATTTTGTGGTAACCACCATCGTAATATATGGTTAAAAAGGCCAAAATTGGAAAAAATTCATCCGGTGGCGAATTCAGCCAAAATTTATGGTAAATTTCAGCTTATTCGGTGGTGCATTAAATTTAACCCTTCATTATTCACAAAGTGGGCTTAACTTGCTCAGGCTTATCTTTGCCAAAATCCAGTTTTCTGTTACTCGAGTGTCTGACTTATGTACATACATAACTGCAAAAAATAAATGTGTGCATGCTAAAGTCCAACGTCAAACTCGAAGCGATTTTTCCTTAGGAATCTATGATAAATTGCTCTCCTGAGTGAATACGTATGTAGGGAAATACTGTGTAAAGTGTGCACTGTGCATACGTGTGTCTGCATGCTGAAGTATAAAGTCAAGTTCAGAGGAAATTTTTATTGATGGCTGCAAGATAAATGTCTCTCGTCAGCTACGATTTGCTTAACTGTGGGACCGTTGGGAAATTTATACGTTCATATTTATACATATGAATTTATATATTCTTGAAAAGTGCGTATAGTCTTGCCATATCTATATTTTTATAAAGCACAGATACATACATATGTACATACGTACGTAAAGTATGATTTTCTTATTACATAAATTATATTTGTATAGGTATATTTATGCTCGGGATTTGTGTATGAAGATTACACCAGGTTAATAATTTTAATGGAGTTTTTATTATTCTGATTCAATTCAACAAGAACTTTACTTTAAACTGAATTAATAATTCGGCATTCATGAATTTCTTACCAATTACTTACATAATTTTTGAATTAACACCAATCTTTTATAAATTTAATTAGCCTTTCTAAATAAATTATTTAAATGTATTCGTGCATGGAAATAAACCTTCAACATCCAGATAATTATTACCCTTGAGCTTTTTCCATTTTTTTAACCATAGTAATTAACTCGTTAGTACATTTTGCCATATTTATTCCAAACTCTTTTCCCCCAAACATCAATTCGACTCCTTGAAGCATCGATCCCATGGACGTGGACTATTAAAGATTAAAAAAATATCTTAAGGAGAAGAGAGGAACTTGTCAACGTCAGATTTTGATGTATTTTTAAGGATGGGTGGGACCTTAGTAGAGGTCAAAACCCCAGATCGTACGCAGCATGGCGTCCGTATAGGGGCGCCCATAAATTACGCAATTAAAACTATTGATTGG